TATTATTAGTATTTTGAACGGCTATGTAAATTTTTATTGAAAGGCCGATATCGCTCTTTTTCTGTTTTTTTTATGCGATACGACTAAGCAACCAAGTTTCCGCCTACTTTTAATGTAGTTCAAACATTTGTCAAAATGAAACTTAGAACCCATATCTTTTCTTCAAACATACAGGCACTCAAAGGACAAGTTTTTTTAATTTGATTGTTTTTCTTTGTTTATTTGAAACATTATTATGTTGTTTGTTTGTTTGTTTTATTTTTTACTTACGTTGCCTTATCTATATTTTACGTGCAATAAGTATATTATTTTTGTAACAGAGTCATACAACCAAATGTTCTCTCTAAATCAGCTGCGTACACATGTTAGTCACATGACGGTAGTGAATATCAAAGGCTTATTAAAATAAATGTTTAAATTTCAATGTTTTCATTGATTTACAATTATGTTTTTAGCTATAGATTTGATATAATTGAAAAACTTTAAACACTTTGGTATCTTTCTTTTTTTAAAACTGCTAGAATGTATATTTATTTGTTATTCGTGAAAAATGTTCTAATTATACAAACCAAAAACGCTGAAAAATGTATGAATCCTTTTGTCAAAGGAAACCCTCTTTTCATTATATGAATTTTTCATCCACTTGTACTTTTTTTGTATTGATTGATTTTGTTTGTTTAATTTTTTAACTCAATCTTATATCATGATGGGATGAACAGCAACAAAGTAAAGTATCACTAATAATTCATTTTCTTCTATATGATAATGCTTTTGTTTTGCTTACTTTTCGAAAGGAATAATTACATTACTCGTAGAGTATATTTAGGAGCCTTAAGCAGTTAAGTATGAGCTTTCCAATATTTCTATGAAATAGTCAAATACACAAGAAAAAGAAAATATTAGCCACCAGAACTATATATATATATATATATATATATATATATATATATATATATATATATATATATAGAAGGTTTAAAAAGAAGAGACATACTAAAATTCCTTATTTGCTAAAAAATCAAGGGGGTTCATAATCATTATCTGACCAGATGCTAGTTAGATAAAACTGTTTGAAGCTGGACTATAGAGAAAGACTAAAGAGAAAGAGACTCCGACTACACAAACATACAATAAGAAGCCATACGGGTTATATCAGAACATAAACAAATAAACCAGGCTTTATGATAAACCAAGGTTGTTTTTCTTGAAAAGTTTTTTTTATGAGGACTTGTCTTTTTAAAAGATTTATTGATAATGTTAAAAGCTGTAGTAAGAACAATTGTTTTTTTGTTTTTTTTTTTTTTTTTTTTTTTTTTTTAACAATCATTGTTAAATGCAAACGTACGTATTAATGTTTTACTGCTTGAACATGAGAAACCTGATGTTATTTGATTAAATGCCTAGAACAAGCGGAGGGACAGATCCTCCCTGCTCTGTATTCTGGTCTATGCTTAGTTAACTTGTTGGATGTTTCCATTATTTCTTGATTGTAGAATTTTCTGCTTTACATTGAAGTCACGTTTTAGGGGCTATAGTATTTAATTATTTCATTGGTTAAATTTTACACTTCCCTGTTTAAACTTGTATAAACTTGTATATATAAAGATGAGAGGCTATTTTCCATAAACGCTATATTCCAGGCACGCTTTAGTTAAGACAACAACAAAAAAGTTTAAACATGGCAATGGTGTGGGTAGTGTTCCTCATGTCCGGCGTCTTATGTACAAGTGCACAGTACATTTACTCGAAAGAAAACGATCGATGTGCCAGGAATGGAGAGACAATGATGAAGATTCGAGAAATTCTGTTCCAACAAATGAAGATCCAAAAATCTGTAGATTCCCTCTTGCAGATGGTGAAGAGACTCGAGGAAGATGTAACCAAGACCCATGAAGATGTTCAAATCGTCAAAAAAGGTAAATCTCTCTCTCTCTCTTTCTCTCTCTCTCTCTCTCTCTCTCTCTCTCTCTCTCTCTCTCTCTCAATTTCGGTTTGTGTATTCATTGATATGATTAATACAATATTATAAATGTATTTCGTTAACATTCAGGTTTAGATCTATCGGATTGTCAGGATCTCTACATGTATATTACCGGACACAAACAGTCTGGGGTATATACAATTTATCCTTTTGATAACGCGACCAGAATCAAAGTCTTCTGTGACATGGAAACAGAGGGCGGAGGGTGGACAGTAAGATCTCTCTCTCTCTCTCTCTCTCTCACAAAATTCAGGTCTTACTTTCAAGTTTATAATACTTTGATTTGTGAATGTCTTTTAATTTCTAATTTTCACCTTCTTGCTGAATGAAAATAGGCCTGGAATAAGTATGAAATTTGTATTTAATTTTATTAAAACAAGCTGAAGTCATTTTAAGTGTACACATTAAAGAAATAGGAGCCTCGAGATAATAAATTCCAATACATTTATCTGTTTTCCAATGTATAACTTAAAAAGAAAAATGAACAGCAGAATCTTTTTTTAAAACTAAGCTTACAAAAATCATCAGAAAATTAAAAATTTTAGACTTCAAGTCTATTTTATTTATGTTTACATTAGCTAAAGAAAGTACAAAATGGTATTTCGTAATTAAGCCACAGTCTCTATTGTGAAGTTATGCATAAGTATTTTTATGTTTTGAAATAAGTATAAATCATACACAATGTAAATATGATTATTATTATTCCATTATACATTTTAGGCAATTCAGAGACGATTGAGCGGATCTATTGGTTTCAAAAGAACTTGGGCGGAATACAACAAAGGTTTTGGGAACGTATCTGACTCTTACTGGATAGGTGTGTTTTTGTTACGATATTATCTTATTTTATAATTAAAATTGTAGATTTTTATGTTTTGTTATTTCAATTAGAATAAACCTTCCCATGCCAAAAATAAGCAAAGATATATTTTATAATTTAGTACAAAATCAAGTGGATTGCTGGCATGCATGACATCTCTGCAAACATATCTAAGACTTAATGTATTTGGTTGTATTAAAGGTGATATTAAGGTGACCTGAAATGAAAATATTTTCTTTATCTTGTTTATTTCTGATAAATATAGTAGAATAATGATAATTTGCAGGAAATGACGTGATTCACACGCTGACAAAGGGAAGGAACTCCTCCCTCTACGTCTCCATTACATTAAAAAATGGCACAACTCTGTATGAACGTTACCATCTGTTTTCTGTTTCTGGTGAATCAGACAACTACAGACTTTATCTCGGGGGACCAGCTACCGGGACACTGGGTAAGTAATAGATAAAATGTTTAACCACCAATGTGCAGAGAGAGAGAGAGAGTTATTTTATTTAAGAAATAGATAATAAAGCCAACAAATGAAATACTACAAATGAATGGAAAACATGTTGTTTCCGTCAATTTAATTAAGTCTTGTTCAATAAATAGTTAAAGGTCATTTAATGATATGCAATCATTATAACAGTTGTTTCAACACGAATGTTTGTTTGAAATAATTAAAATAAATCATTTTCAATGTTTACAATAAGATTAATACCAGCAATTATAAAGGTGTACAATATAAAATATAGTATGGGATTTTCTTTAACTTTTACCGTTATAAATAGGAATTATCTGATTTGATATATATGATAGTGTAATATCTAACATATATAAATAAGTTTTCTAAATAGGAATGATTTTATTTTATATAGATAATCATGTAATATTTTATCGTTGATACTTTTCATTATATCTTATAGATATAGTTGATATATATATTCATGTAACATTTCATCCTTAATACCGTTCATTATATCATATAGATTTAGTTGAATAGATAGTCGTGTTATATTTTATCCTTGATACTGTTCATTATATCATATAGATAGAGTTGATATAGATAGTCAAGTAATATTATATCTTTGATACTGTTCATTATTCTATAGATATACTTGATGAAGATATTCATGTAATATTTTATCTTTAATTTATACATACAGTTATACAGTTATATACATACAGTTGATATAGATGGTTATATAATATTTTATCTTTGATTACTGTAGGTGACAAAATGCTAGACACCGGGGATTCTGACACAAATCTGTCCGGGATGCCATTCTCCACCTCAGACAGAGACCACACCAGAGATCGTTATAACTGTACTTATTGGGGAGGAGGAGGCGGCTGGTGGTACAACCGGTGTCACCGAGCCAACCTTAATGGTCCCTGGTCCCCGGCATACTGGGAGTTTCCATGGACACCGCCACTTCTTTATGGCAGTGATATAACGGAGACTGTTATGATGATAAAGCCTCATTGACTGTGTTATATCTTACTTATTGTAAAATATAAAAATATATATTGTAAGTTGATCATTTAATGTTTTTGATAAAGGTGTATATTTTCTGTGCATTTACTTAATAAATAAATAATTGAAACCAAACATTTAATCCATTTTATATGTGTGTATACTACGTGTGCATAGATTGAAAAAAGGTATATTGAAGTTTAACATTTAAGTACAGGTGCATGTAAGAATCAGGCAATCAGCGATAAGTCGTATGCCTCGGATTAAGCCAAAAAATTTTCACAGCTATACATGGAATACTGGACTTTTACGAGGAGCGCTGACTTTTACAGTTGACGCTTACTTTTACACTAGGGTTATGTACAGTAGCTCTTTTATGATATAAATATTTAGCTCAATATTTAATTAAATGAAAATACGGGTTATTTCAATGCACATTTAAGTTGTCCTTGAAGAAAACGACAACCAACATACCCTCAACTCCCGGTCCTCACATGTTAGTGCCCCTAACACCATACCTATAACCACTAGAAAGGTTTTCTTATGCATTATCAATTATGTACCTCCGTACTTGATACAAGTTTAAATGTCCAAGTAAACGTCAACTGTAGAAGTCAGTGCTTCTCGTAAAAGTCCAGTAGTAATCTAAACACAATAACATTTTTTTTTCACTTCGCACATATCGGCTGTGATATGTTACTAAAAATAGATTCTGGCGCTCATGAGCCAAGATCTTGGGCAAAAAAGTCAGAAGTTCAATGCTTCAAAAACAAGAATTTAATAATGCATAATTTGTATATTTTAAATACAGAGGAAGTTCAAGTTGATTCTCTTATTCATACATATAGTTCCCAGAGCATGTTAAAGTTAGAACATATTATGACGTCATATTATGTTCTTTCCTATTCAAGTAATAAAACACATCAACAAAACAATTAAGGAGAATATTCTAAAAACTAATGAAATTGCTGCACAAATCCTATGCCCTTTCTCAATCGATAAAAATTTCAAAAAATTTACACTTGCCATGCATTAAATGTTTACCCTGTTTCAACTAAAAACGATACGAAGAGTAACTTAACACTTACAGTGTTGACTCTTGTGCAGCAGTATCTTAAATCCTTAGAATATTCAGCGTCAATTTTACCTCGTATCTGTAGAACAAAGTAAGGTATGTCCTTGCACCAAAGTTTGTTGATGTTCCTTATAAACTTTTGTGGTAATGGTTGATGACGTCATAATAGGACGTCATTATATGCACTGGTTATCGCATGTCATGGGTAACAAGAATGTATAAGATAACAAGTCTTAACTTCTTCTGTGCGGTAGGCATAGTCATTATGGGTTTTAATTAATTTTTTTCAAAAAAAAACATTCTAAATGTAGCTTTAACTCACTTTGCAGGGATTATAAATCGTAAACTGACCGAAACCAGATTATACTCGATAATTTGGCCAATAATTAGAGTTATTTCGTTACCCGTGATGAAATCAGATCTAATCAGACCGGTGATGCAAAGGAACATGAAATAGAACCCCAAACGAACTCTAGACTTTTAAACTTTCTACCTGCCTCGCAGGAAGAAGTTAGAAAAATCAGACATAGTTCGCCCAACATATCATGTGAACTGGACCCCTTACCAACCTGGCTTCTTAAATTAAATCTGTAATCACAAACATCATCAATGAATCATTCAGTACTTGCCATGTACCAACGGAGTTTAAAAGTGCTGTTATAAGGCCTCATCTGAAGAAACCGGATTTAGACCCTAATGTTCTGAAAAACTACAGACCCGTTTCTAACCTCCCATTTGTATCAAAGGTTTTAGAAAAAGTTGTAGATAAACGTATCGGTGACCATCTAGCTGAGAACAGTTTACATGAACCACATCAATCTGCATACAGGAAACTTCATTCCACAGAAACAGCCTTACTCAAAGTGCATAACAATATCCTTCAGTCACTAGACAATAACTGTGTCACTGTTCTTGTGTTGCTTGACCTATCAGCAGCATTTGATACGATAGATCATACCACACTTCTGAGCCGTTTGGAAAACCTATACGGAATCAAAGATAACGCCCTTTCCTGGATTTCAGCGTACCTTAATGGTAGACAACAAACTGTTTGTGTTGAAGGAGAGCTATCTGATCCAGTTACTATGAATTTTGGTGTTCCACAGGGATCCGTATTGGGGCCGAAATACTTTACAATGTATACCAAGCCAGTAGGTGCTATCTGTGGTAAACATGGTCTAATGCATCACTTTTATGCTGATGATTCACAACTGTACATTTCGTTAAACCCATAGACATTGTGTCAAAATCTGAAGCAATAAATCGCGTCGAGTCCTGTCTAACGGAAATCATTATGTGGATGAATGGAAACATGCTAAAACTGAACGCTGAGAAAACAGAAGTGATGTTGTTTTCTTCCAAATATAATCTCAAACATGTCGAAAACATGACTATAATGGTTGGTAAGACATCTTTTTTAGCATCAAATGACAGCATCAGAAATCTTGGTGCTCACTTCACACCACAAATGGACATGGAGAAACACGTCAACACTGTTTGTAGATCTGCCTACCACCAGCTGAGAAACATCGGACGCATACGGAAATACCTTACAACCGACGCCACAAAAACATTAGTCAATTGTCTAGTAACATCAAAGCTTGACTATTTTAATTCGCTTCTCTTCGGTATTCCAAAATTGACAGTGAATAAACTACAACGAGTTCAGAACACAGCTGCCAGAATCATCACAAAAACTCCTCGTCATGACCATATAACACCAGTGCTCAAGGAACTTCATTGGCTACCAATATGTCAACGGATCGATTACAAGGTCCTACTGTACACTTACAAGGCAACATGGACAGTTACATGGACAGTGCCCACAGTACATTATAGACTTATTGTGTGTGTACCGACCAGCTAGAGACCTTCGTTCTAGCAGTTCTTTAACACTTGTAGTACCACATACCAGAACTGTGACATTTGGAAACCGTAGTTTTAGCCATGCTGCACCAAGGTTATGGAACGCACTGCCAGAGTCAGTTAGAAACGCCCAGACACTTAACGCTTTCAAAAGACAGCTTAAAACACATCTTTTCCGCTCCTATTATGTTGAGTACTGTAGATCACCTAATTTTCGCGACACCTTATTTTCGCGAGATAGTCATTAACTCTTGATTAGCTAGACAAAATTTTCGCGAATTGTGGTTATTGCTCTATATAATCTTAAAGATTACTATTATACGCGAGAATTAAATTTTCGCGAGAAAACTGTCTCGCGTTATTACGCGAAAATAAAGTTCTCCCAAATAAAAAGTGATTTACAGTAACTGGAGGTATTAACAATCATAAGACATTGGATATATTGAGTAGAAAGTGATGCTAAAATGTGATATTTTTAAGTTTTAACTTTCTGTTATGTTTTTTTTTTCATGTAAACTTTATAACCTAATTTTTAATCGTTCTTATAATTTTCTATTTTAAAGGAATATAAATTTTTAATTACAAGCTCATCGAAACTTGTATTAAGTAGACTTAATCTTATTTTATGTTATATCTGTGCTTAATTAATTCCTATAGTCTAATTAGATTTTTATGACTGGTAATTTTGAATATATATATTTGTCTATGTTAGTCTTAGTTGGAGTTATTGTTTTTAATTTTATCACTGTATTGTATTGCTATATCTTGTTTGTTGTAAAGCACTCTTGAACATGTCTTTGAAAAAAGTGCTATATAAATCTGGTAAAATAAATAAAAATAAATAAAATTAACTATTAACTTTTTATTTTTTGTCTAAAAAAACAAAAACATATTGAACAATTAGTGAGGTTTTATCATCATGAGAGTCTCCTTTATGTAGCAGGAATGGGTTTTGTGATATACATTTATGCCTTGTATTTGAGTAATGTTGTCTTCATATTAATGTTTTCATACATGCGATATATGTGCATAATGCCTTATCCGTAATATACCATTTGTTTATATTTACCATGTTTACAAACCTTCTCAGGGAATAGCACGTGTTGCTTCCATCAAATCTTTTTGGGCTAATGTTTATGTAAATTTTGATTGGCTATTAATACGGAAGTTAACCTTTTGTTTGTCACTAATATCAGTCAACGTTCATACCCTTTGGGTGCATTCACTAGAATTTTAAGTAGAATTTTCATTGTTTCCAAAAAGTATAAAAACCCATGTAACTGCTAGTTTAGTGGGAAATCTTGAAAAGCATTGGTTTGCTGTAAGTTCTCTCACTTCTATAGAGGTTTATTAGGTATTTAACAGGCTGCACCCTTAGAAATTATGTTAAGAAATTATTAGGTATTTGTACAAAAATTGTCGTCTATAGCTCCTGTTCAATTTATTAGGTCATACAACTACAGTACCGACCAGACCCAACCTGACACAAAGCAGTCCCAGAGCGGTCCCACAGCGGTCCCAGAGCAGTCCCACAGCAGTCCCAGTGGGCGGGTTTATTAATTTAATGGTTGGAGCTAACAGAAATGAGATATGCAATAAACAATGGAACTATAAAAGGCAGTAGAAATTGACTCTGGGTAGTATGCCAGGAATCCTCACATGTATGCGAAGGTCATTTATGAACAGTGCGCGCATAGAAACAAATTGAATTAAAATTATTAAAGGAAGAAGGCTTTCACACGTACATGTATGAATTAAACTGAACATGAACATTAAATCACAATTATCAGGTGTGTTAATAATTCATTTTCTTTATTTTCTGTGATTTATACTGTTTCCTATATTTATTTTTATACATAAAATTAAACGTGAATTATAATTAATTATTTTCCACCCGTAAGATTAAGTTTTAAATAGATCTCATCATTATATGGCCAATTTCCATACTATTGAGATACTCAAAAGGAATTTTGGGGGCTTTTAGAAAATTCTTTGTTAAATTTGCCAAGTATTTTTTTCAGTCATGTATCATAAAATAAAAAGGTTCATTTTTCGTAAATTTGAAAGTTTGTTGTTTGGGATATTTTGGAACT